ACAACAACAACAACAACAACAACAACAACAACAACAACAACAACAACAACAATAACAACAAACAAACAAACAAACAAACAAACAACAACAACAACAACAACAACAACAACAACAACAACAACGAGACTCCGCACCGCGGACTCCCACTTCAGCCACGCACCCAGGGACAGTGGATGACCGTTCGGCCCCCTCACTCTGATGTTTTTCCCTCCCCACACTCGCTGCGCCCGTGGTGGGGGGGGGCAAGAGAGGTACGGCAGCAGCGGCGCGCCGCCGTGGGGTGCCCACCGGCGTGCTGCTGTGGGGTCGGGCGTGCCCTCCTACGGGCGGGCTGTGGGGACGACTGCATCAAGGTACGGTAGGTTCGCGCGACGTCGGCGCGCGCAAAGGTTTTTGACACCGCCTCGATCATTCAACCTTGAACCGATCGCGGCCCCGATCGTTCAAGGTTGAATTCAGTCGGGTCCAATGGCGTTAACGCGTACATCGGTGCTTCCGCATCGTAAAATTCAACCTTGAACGCCGTCGCCGGCGTCGCCTGCGCGCCAACGCCGCACGAACCTACCGTAGTCAACACATGCTCAAACACATGTAACAAGTGGTGGGAGAATCGTCCCCAGGCTTGTCCTTGACTGCTCTTGAATATATATTCCTCCTTTCGGGGGACAGGCTCGACTCGAGATGGCCAAAACACGTCCAAACACACATTAAAACATGGTAGGAGAATCGCCCCCAGGCTATCCTTGACTACTCTCGAGCATTCCTCCTTTCGGGGGGACAGGCCCGACTTCAGGCTGCTGCAGAGGAGCACGGACGGCACCTCCGTCGCCGCCCCCTGGCGGCGGCCCCTGGCGGCGCTTCCCCGCCGCCGCCCCCGACGCGCCCCGCGCGCGGGGGAGGGGGGGTCCAGCGCCGATCCAAGAGCTGCGCGCGCGCGGTGCTCCGAGAATTCATGGTGAGCGTTGTCTTAGTCGGCGTTTAGGCATTGGGCGGAGAGGGGGGGAGGGGAGGGGGGGGGGTCTGGCTCCCGCTGCCTAGTGCCACTGTCTGCAGCGGTGCGTCCTGTGGGGGAGGCTCCACCTGCTCGAAACAGGCGCCAAAAAACAGCCAAGAGGTACTCCATGGGGGAGGCGGAGGGGTGAGGGGTGGGGGGTGCGAGGGCCCGCGCCGATCGACAAGACAACGAATAAGGAAACGATCACATGGTTTGTGCATTGTTTCGGCCCTTCGCAATTATTCAGGGAGCACCGGGTCATCGGACAAACGCGGAGGAGTACTCAGCCTGCCGACGCGCTACCGACGGCGGCGTAGCACTGCTGCTCCTCCCGCATCCGCCGATGCGATGCTGTGACATCTGCGCCTCTCCAGAGGTTCCGACCGCTTCCCCAGGAGCACGCTTTCGCCCCAGATCCGTTTTTGATGGTCCTTGCAGGTGGAGGGGGAGGAGGAGGAGGAGGAGAGGAGGGACGAGAGGAGTGAGGGAGGAGGAGGAGGAGGAGGAGGGTGGAGGAGGGGAGGAGGAGGAGGAAGGAGGAGGATGTGGAGGAGGAGGAGGAGATGAGGAGGAGGACGAGGAGGAGGAGGAGATCCTTCCAGATCGATCACGTGTTCGACAAATCCCGAGCCCTGCCCCCGCCGCCCCATCGAGCTGCCTGCATCGTGGATCGGCGAGGGGACTCTGGCCCTCTGGTACTCCAGAATTCGTAATAAACCATTCCAGTAAAAGGGAGAGGGTCTGGACCCTCCAGTAAAAGGGAGGGGGTCTGGACCCTCCAGTAAAAGGGAGGGGGTCTGGACCCTCCAGAACTCTGGCCCTCCAGTAA